AATGGGCCTGCGTGTTGTGTAGCCTTGCCTTGAGCTTTCTATCCATGCCTGGCTGTGTGAAAGAAGCTATTTGCATAGATTTGCTTACATATTTGCATGAATACACAACCACACTTAAGTTGCAGCCCTCAGCATGTGCTGTGAGTGTCACTGACCCCCAGGACTTCCAACGTTGAGTAGCCCTCGAGCGGCACTAGTTCTTTACTGAAACCCAGCTGTATCTTTGGCCTTCACAGCACCCCCTGGCAGTGCATAGCGCCCCCTGGCAGTGCATGGCGCCCCCTGGCAGTGCATAGTGCCCTCTGGCAGTGCCTAGCTCCTGCTGCGGTGCATAGCTCCCCCTGGCAGTGTGCAAAGCCCCCTGGCAGTGGCTAGCCTCCCCTGCAGTGTGTAGAGCCCCCTGGCAGTGCATAGCTCCCCCTGGCAGTGCGTAGAGCCCCTAGGCAGTGCATAGCTCCCCCTGGCAGTGCGTAGAGCCCCTAGGCAGTGCATAGCTCCCCCTGGCAGTGGGCAGAGCCCCTTGGCAGTGCATAGCTCCCCCTGGAAGTGTGTAGAGCCCCTTGGCAGTGCATAGCTTCCCCTGGCAGTGTGTAGAGGCCCCTGGCAGTGCATAGTTCCCCCTGGCAGTGTGTAGAGCCCCCTGGCAGTGCATAGCTCCCCCTGGCAGTGCGTAGAGCCCCTAGGCAGTGCATAGCTCCCCCTGGCAGTGCGTAGAGCCCCTAGGCAGTGCATAGCTCCCCCTGGCAGTGTGCAGAGCCCCTTGGCAGTGCATAGCTCCCCCTGGCAGTGGCTAGCCTCCCCTGCAGTGAGTAGAGCCCCCTGGAAGTGCCTAGCTCCACCTGCAGTGCCTAGCACCCCCTGGCAGTGAGCAGCATCCCCTAGCAATATATAGGTCCCCTGGCAGTGCACAGCACCCTCTGTAGGGGATAGCATCCCCTGGCAATGCATAGCACCCGCTGGCAGTACAGATGCCCCCTGGCACTGGGTGCCACAGGCTGACTGGGTGCTGGGGGAAGAACTACTTCCTGCTGCCCAGTCGGGGCTTTGGGTGGCTCCTGGTGGCGTGCTGCAGGATGGATACAGAGCATTCCAGTTGCTCCTTTTGTAGCTGGGGGTGTCCCAGGGATTCGTTCCCATCCCAGGCTCGCTCTCTTCCCTAACGATTCCCAACGGTCCGTTGGCATCTCTGCATGCAGGGAGCGAGGTTTTCGGAGAGATCTCTCTGTAGGGGGAGCAGCTCGCTTAGACCCCGGTGATTTGAATGTGGTGGGGCCGTGGGTTCCCTTGGCATTTATCAACAGTGAAGTTCCTCTGTCATTTTGCTGCCCAGTCCCCCGGCTTTGAGCTCCCCTTGTAGCTTTCCTCAGGTTGCTTGTGGTTGGCATCTCTGCATGCAGGGAGCGAGGTTTTCGGAGAGATCTCTCTGTAGGGGGAGCAGCTCGCTTAGACCCCGGTGATTTGAATGTGGTGGGGCCGTGGGTTCCCTTGGCATTTATCAACAGTGAAGTTCCTCTGTCATTTTGCTGCCCAGTCCCCCGGCTTTGAGCTCCCCTTGTAGCTTTCCTCAGGTTGCTTGTGGCTTGAGTAACTGAGGGTACGGCTACACTGCCGCACTGTTCCGACAGAGCGTCGGCCACGGCTACGCTGCCGCACTGTTCCGACAGAGCGTCGGCCGCGGGTACACGCGGCCCCAAGTGCCACAAAGGGGC